TAAAGAACAAAAATCAACGACGCAAGACCAAAAATTTAAAGGACTTTCAAAAAGTGAATCAATTCGTGACAGAAGCTCCAGATAATAAGTGGTTAGCTGCAAAGGTGAGTATTTTTTGTGAAAATGTAGTTCTTTGCAATTTTTGATATAGTATATTTCCGGGCTGTTAGGATTGGAGCTATTACTCATGTGAAAAAACCACACTAGTGAAAAACACCCATCCCATCCGCAAAGCCCGGATAATATTTTTTCGTAGTAATTTTCAAGTTCTTGAGTGTAAGAAGAATGTAGTACCAATTTCTAGACGAAAAATCGTGAGAAGTAGTATATGAACAGGAATTTCGAATAAATCAATTATTCGTTCATACAACATTTTCCATAGGTTGTCCTCATTTTGGATATATGTGGAACAACTAGGAGAAAGGACAATAGCCTTGGATGATATTGCTGGTGAAGGAAGTTACTTTATGCTTTACTTTATTATGTGATATACCATTTAGGAACACTGATATTCCACGACAATTCCCAGCCCAAGGTATTTTTTATGATACTGTCAAGAGATGCATGACACGTAGCCCAGCAGACTACCATCTTGAATAGTTCTTCTGTGCATATCGCAATGCTTACCTCAAAATATTAAGATTCACACTCTGGGAGTGATATCAAAAGTTATAGCCATTTATCCTTAGCTGCCTGAGCCAGAAAAATATACAGGCATAGCTTCAGCAGACCATCGTTTACTATTCTCGCGAGTGGTAATATAATTGATTTGGAAAGATATGGCGGTTGAAAATCGGATGCAGTTGCCTATGGGTGTATCGAGAAGTCGACCAATGCGAAGCATAGGACATGTGACAGAATCGTAAATGCAATCGCTTACGCACAGAATCCAGCTGGTCCGTCTAAAATGGTAAAAAGGCACAAAGTAGCTACCAAAACCGGGACAGCCGAACCTTTTCTTCGCGCTGGCAATTAAGGAAATAGTCCAGTAAAGTCTAATGTGATCACAACATGCACAAAAACACTGAACCTCAGCAAAAAAAATAACTGACTGACAAAGTAAAAATAAACGAAGCTGGTAAATGTCTAGTAGAATCCTCCCGCAACGCTTCAACAAGGTGTAGGATAGTGTGTGTAGATTTCCATGCCCCCTTTCAGATTCTACGAACCGTTTTCGGGAACAATTAATAAAGGAGATAAAGCGATTAATACACCGCTCTCTGTGACGAAACCGCATTTTGACACACTTAAGGGCAATGGACACCCAGAAGGATGGAATTTCTAGTCAGTCGAAGCACTGTTTTCACTAATCTGAATTTAACACTCCCGATTACCTACCCGACTGATATTGTCCGCCGCTACCCTTTTGTAGCGAATTCAAATGGCTGAATTTAATATCACCGACTCGTCGTATCAACAGCGATAAGAGCGGTGGGGGGGGGGGGTTTAGAGTTTCACTATTATTTTTTGGAGTGAAGACTATTTGTCGATATACTTCTTCCGTTATTGTTCCGTCCTGACATTTCTCTCCATTTTATTGAAAAAATGGGACGATACGACCGGTTTGCGAAAACTTTTTTGGGGGCGTTTAAACTATACATTAACATATCTTTTTTCTTTGAACGGGTGGTTCGGCTCTTGTAAGCCCGGGCTTCGTCTCTGCACCCCACCGGAACTTTGCCCCTGGACCCCAACGTGGTCTTTGATAAGCGCTTCACTTTGACTTTCGTGCAACAGTACATTGTGTAATTAGTGTGTAAAACAGCACTTTTGCACACGAGTTATGGTTGCCCCTGGAGGATCTTCACGCAGAATTGTTCGTACAAGTATTGCAATAAATAGTATCTACAATACGTGCGTGTAGTCCTTTTCGACTCGTGCTTCATGCTCTAATTACACAATATATTTACGATTTTCTTAATGAAACATTCTGTACACATTGTAATATGTCACTTTGATGTTGTTCAAAATTTCATATTTGTTTTTACTTGAAATTTCAAGTTTAATTTGCCAACAGTGTAGTCTTATGCAATCGGTGGATCCGTTCAGTCATGTCATTTCACAGTGACGTTTGTTATGTCCGGAGAATTTTCGCGTCGAAGGACATTTACTTTTGTAAATAAGCTAGAATTTTTTAATTAATTTTTTGGACGACGCGGTTCTTTCTTTTTATTCTTACCTGTAAATGATTTCCGCGCTTAATGTAATTTAGTGGAACTTAGTTAGAGGAAGTAGAAAAGAGATTAGGTCCGTTAACTTTACGTATTTATTTAAATTCGTTTTGATAATTGGTACATGAGTTAAATTGACAGTAATGATAAACTAGAAGAACCTTGCAATCGATTTTGGATCTATCTTGGATTTTATTTCTGAGGAATTACTCACGGAGACTGGTTATAAATTATAAGCTGTGAATTCCTAGGGTGATTCCACCACGTTTCTCTGCCAGATGACAATCAGTACACTATTACAGATACTTAGGTGGAGTACCTGTCTTTCACTTGTTAAATTGGGTTGGAATTGAATTTGAGTCTAAGTTCTCAATAGTTTTTAATAGTCACTAATAGTTAAATTCGA